CCCTCCCGGGCCTGCCGGGGCGGCGCACCTGCTGCTCCCAGACCGGCGTCTTCCCGGCGCCGCCGCCTTCATCTCGGAACTCCGTTCCTAAACCTCGGCAGCAGCCGGAGAGACGTGAGACCCGGGCGCTGCGGACATCGGCCGGGGCCGCCGGGCCCGCCCTCGGGGAGCGCACCGGCCTCACCGCCACCACACCATCCGGCCGGAAGCGGCGTAGCCACCGAGGGCGGAAGCCGCCGGCTTCCGGCCTCTCTGGGAGACGCTCCTCTCGGTGGTGGCTTCGCGCGGCCGGAGGAAACCTCGCGCGGCCCCGAGGGTCGCAGCCCCCCTCTCGGCCTCTCTGGGACACGTTCCTCTCGGTGGTGGCCTCGCGCGGCCCCGAGGGGCGGTGCCGCGAATTTGAGGGGCTTGTGGTCGTTGTCCTTCTGGAAGGTTGAAGATGCTCGCGCCCCTGCCCCCTACTTTAAAGCTTCGGGTGCCCCGTCCCGTGGCGATACTGTCAGTCACGTGATCAAGGTCAGGGGCTGAGACCGAGCCCCGCAACAGCGCGTGTGTTTGCGCCCCGGTTCCCGCACGCCGGGAGCTTTGGGGCAGGACGCTCCCCGGCTCGGTTTCCTCCAGCCCGGAGCGGGGGAGAGGTACAGCGCTTGTCACGCCGTGGGCTGCGGTACACAGCGCCTGCAGAGAAGAAACTCTGCGTTCAGTAGTCAAAACAAAACACCCCCAGTACAGGTATTGGGTTACTGAGATCCCATCAGGACATTTCTAATTCAAGGTAATTGAGAAACAAATGCTAAGTCATTTGTTATGAAGCCTATTTATTCGTGGAAGCTTTTGTACATTAGATTATCATAATTCTACAAAGGACGTGTTTTGCTAGAGTTTTCACATAAAGACCTCATGCATGCAATGGGATGTTAAAGCCTTATATCGTTTTTATCCCATTAGGGAAAGTGTGCCTCGTCAAGCAGGTAAAAGAAATCTAGCCAGATTTGCCTTAGTGTCCTGAAATCACTGGTGGAGTTCCTACTTGTTGGATTCTTGTCTCCACTCTGTGATGCCAACTCTCTCTACCCGGTCTTTTCTGGAGAGAAGAGCAGCCAGTGCGGATTCCCTCAGCTCTCTTCCACAATTGTCAGTAGCCGGAGACCCTCCTTGTGTCAAGAGAGCTGCCCAGAACTGCAGTCTTGGTACGTTCACCCCAGGGAGGTGCCCTGACAACCCCCCCCCTCCCCCCCACGCATATGGGGCAGGAAGATCCTAGGTATGTTACTGTCTCGCCAAACTCAAGTTTCAGTTCAATTTGACCACCTTTCCCTACCCCAGCTCCTGCCCAATTTATTTCTCCTCTCCTGTCTTGTTTGAATCTCTGGATTCTGGCCTCTTGCCTTGGAGGCTCTCCTGGTCTACCTCCTGGCAAGACCTCTGGACACAGATTTTGGTCTACAGATCGTAATGCTACCATTGTGTAGGTCCTCTTGTTTGGCATGACTTTCTTTCCTTTTTTTTATTGTTTATTTTTTGTTTTGAGAGAGAAAAGCACAAGTGGGGCAGGGGCAAAGAGGGAGAGAGAGAATCCCAAGCAGGCTCCACACTGCCATCACAGAGCCCGACGTGGGGCTTGAACTCACAAACTGAGATGATGACCCAAGCCAAAACGAAGACTGTCTCCTAACCAACTGACCCACCCAGGTGCCCCTGGCGTGACTAATTCAGTTTTGTTGTGCCTTTATTTAAAGGAATGTTCTGAAAGCATTGTTGTGTATTGCTCAGGCTATTTCCACTTCAGGGCTTAGCCCACCTCCTCTTGTGGCGGATCATTAACTAGTGTTGATGATCAGCCTCTTTACCTGAATCTTCTCCCCTCCACGCAGTAATCACGGTTACTTCCCAACAGAGTCCCTTTTTCCTCCACCCCCACTGCCACAGACTAACCTACTCATCAGCCTCCAAATTCTGCCCTTCTGGTTTGACTTTAGCAGTCAGTGGGGGAAGAGGCAAATCCTGTTTCACAGAAAGCACACACACAGTAAAGATCATATGGAGGACAGCAAATCAGAGAACGAGAGAAAAGAGACACTGGTCTTTCAGTCATTTGTCTCACTCAATATTTTTTATTCAACGTTTTTCATGTTTTGCTCTTTCTTTAGCACTTCCATAAAAATTTAAGTTCTTTACATTATCAGGTTTTCCCTCTTGTGAATTCTTTGGTGTTGACGAAGGTGTGAACTCTGACTGAAGGCTCTCCCACACTCACTGCATTCATAGGGTTTCTCTCCAGTGTGGATTCTCAGGTGTCGAATGAGGTGTGAGCTCACTCTGAAGGTTTTCCCACATTCACTACATTCATAGGGTTTCTCTCTGGTGTGAATTCTCTGATGCAGGATGAGATGGGAGTTCAGGCTGAATGCTCGTCCACATTCTTTGCATTTGAAGGGTCTTTCCCCAGTGTGAATTCTCTGGTGCCTAGTAAGATCTGAGCTGCCCCCAAAGCCTTTCCCACACTCATTACATTCATAGGGCCTCTCTCCAGTGTGGATTCTCTGATGCCTAATAAGCTTTGAGCTGTGTCTGAAAGCTTTCCCACATTCATTACACTGGTGGGTTTTCTCCCCACTAAAAATTGCTGCATGTTTAATAAGGTTTGGGCTCTTGAGAGATTTTCCATATTGGTGAATTTTTTCTCCAGCATAAATTTTTTGATGCCTAATAAAATCTGAATTCCATTTGAAACTTTGGTCATAGGTACTATGTTTATGAGATTTCTGGTGTGTAAATTCACTTGAATTCAGGTTTAAGCTTCTGTCACATCCATCATGGCTTATTTCACCTGTAAGTGTATTTTTGTGGGTAAGGATTTTACTAAAACTTCCATCCTGAGCAGATGATGGTCTCTGAGACCCCCCTGATTCTTTTTCCCATTGCCTCTTTAACCTGTCTGTAGACTTGCAGATGTCTTGAGGCTCAGCAGATCCTTCTGACACGAATTCTGAAATTCTTCCTGATAGAATTCTCTGTGATTCCATTTTTTCATAAATGTCCAACTTCGGCATGGATCCATTGTTTTCACTCTCATTATCTAAAATAACGCAAAGAGAAAGTGGTAAACATCTATTTGCTGAGTTGGAAGAAATACTCAACACTATTACATATTGGTACTTCACTTGGTTACTCTAAAAATGTGACTTTTCAGGGGGGCCTGGGTGGTTCAGTCGGTTGAGCATCTGACTCTTGGTTTTGGCTCAGGTCATGATCTCATGGTTGGTGAGTTTGAGCCCTCCATCGGGCTCTGTGCTGACAGCGCAGAGCCTACTTGGGATTCTCTCTCTCCGCCCTTCCCTCACTCATGTGTGTGTGTGGTCTCTCTCTCAAAATAAATAAACTTAAAAAAAATTAAAAATTCAGATGTGGCCTTTCAAATGAAAGGGTTGAAGGGCACAAGGGAGAAAAACTGGTAAAAGAAGGCAGAATGCACGCAGAGGGGAAAACCTCCATCCATCTATCCATCCACCCATTTCTTCATCTGCCATGGCTAACCAAATTCTGTAACCACTTTCTGCTACATATCTCCTGAATACATCCCCTTCTTCACATTTCTGCTACCATGTTCCTTATGACTACTTTTTATCTAGGGGATTGTCACAGCCTCCTGCTGTTTTGACTCTGAGCTGCTAATCACTTTGAATGTCCTCACCAGATTAGCTGTCCTTAAAACCCTGTCACCTCCTATACCTTACTCAGAAACTTTCACCCTCTTTCCTCCACAACTTACATGAATTCTTCCTCCTGGTTTCCAGAATCCATTTATGATCTAGTCCTCACAATTCCTGCCTGTGGCTCACAAATTTATACTGTGCTTATGACTCTGTATTATGCATCTTGTCTTTGTTGTTGGGTTTGTTTTGTCTAGAATATGCTATGATAGGAAAGGTGGTTAGGCAGTGCTGGTCTTAGCATGGGGGAAATGTTGTGATTTTGGATAGGATGGATGGAAATGTTTCCAGAACAAACGTGAAAGCAGAATTTAGGTATTTTTTAAAAAATGGACTGTAACTTACTCTTTATTTTTGAGACCACTCATACCTAAAGTGATACTGAATCCATGAACTTCTTAAACAGATGAGTTTTAGGAGTGCCTGGGTGGCTCGGTCAGTTAAGCATCAGACTGTTGATCTCGGCTCAAGTCATGATTTCACAGTTTGTGAGTTCAAGTCCCATTGTCAGGCTCTGCCCTGACAGTGCGGAGCCTGCCTGGGATTCTGTCTCCCTCTCTCTCTACCTCTCCCCCCACTTGCTCTCTTTATCTCAAAAATAAATAAAAATAAACTTAAAAAAAATTTTTAAACAGAGGAGTTTTAGAACAGTGATGAGTATTCCATGGAGGTGGTCACCAGAAATATGGCCCACTTCCTATAAAAACGTGAAAGCTTTGTAAGACCAAAATATATAATAAAAAAGATAAGAGTGTGGATCTTGTATGCATCTGAATTATATTCCATTTCTGAGTATATCATTATGTATCTGCTTCTCTATCATTATATATGCTTCTCTACTAACATGTTTTATTTCTCTTGATGCGTTTCTTCCTCTTATTCTTTTGTTTCTTTACTCATTCTCTGACATTTTCTCATTCGTTTTTTTCTTTAATTTACTCATAAAAGTATCCTGTGTTTTGGAAATATTCTGGATAAAGTACAAATAGGAGAATGTTAATATGCTTGATAAGGAACCAAATTCTGGGTGGTGTGTGTGTGTGTGTGTGTGTGTGTGTGTGTGTGTGTGTGTTTAATTGGCCAATGGCATACAGGGAAAGAGTTCGGTACTTCTCATGGGGTAATAAAGGAAAAGACCACCTGTAGTGACTGAGACTATTCTGAGAAGGCAAATTCACAGCCCCACTCCTTCAGTGACATGAAATGTGTGTAATACTGCTCCTTACCATAGTCCAGCACAAGGGATGCTGAAGAATCATGAAGGGACTTGGGGTCCACTGGCTGAAA